CTGTTTTCAAATTGCTTTTCACAATTCTTGTTCATCAAGAAGTCATTATGTCTGCAACAGGGAAACCATGAAGGTAGTGGCAAAAGGTTTCTAACTTTCATGATTTGTTCTTAATCTGCAAAGATGTCAATTATTGGGTTAACTCTGCGGGGGGTTAACTGTACTTGTGTAATCTGTGACCAATTCAGTGACCTTGCAGGTAACTTCTTTGCCCCAGATTCCCCAATATGAAATGAGAATAGTAATGTTCAGAGCATCCTACAAAAGAAAGTGAGCTTTCTGAAAGAAAACAACACCTAATGATTAAAATTTTGTCAGAAATGCTTGTCAAAAAAATTAAAACAACCAAAAAACCTGTCACAAGAAAACAAAGGCTTGGCAAGGATCCCTGAATCACAAGAGGAGTTGAAATCTTGAACTGCTACTCTTTTTCACTAGAACATATCTGTGTAACTCCTTTCTTTAATTTTTCATTCATTTCAGCTAAAACCTATTTGAGATTTCACAGAGAAGTCACATGAAAGTTGCTCTTTAGTTATACATGTGCATGGAGATGTGAATTATGTGCAGTGGGGATGTGTAAGAAGTCTAGCTCAGTCTTTTCTTAAGGTTCCCCAGGCACATCTGGTTTCTGTCAGTCAGTCACTACCTCAAAATGTTTTCATGTTTCTAGATAAGAACTGCTTGAAGTGTCATAGAAAATTGCTTGTGTGCTGCACAGACAACAATACTTAATTCTATAATTAGCTTCAGGCAGTGAGACAGCTGGAAAGATTTTTTGCCAATTTTTTAAGCTTATTTTGGCAAATTCTTGTTGAAATGAAAGCTGCTCATTAAAATAGCTTTCATTTTGAACTTCCAGACCTTCTTTGCAGGAGTGTTTCTATCCTTCTAAGAAACAGAAGTAAATAAAAAACATCCATCGTAAAACTCGATAATATTTATAACAGGAAAGATGTACATTAGGCTGTTGCCTCATGTATTTTAATGAGAAAGAAGACACAAAATAACTTAGCTGTAGGGATTTGAATGCATCCCTAATGAGGATAATGTCCTGCCCCCCAGGTCATCATGGTACAGAAAAACTGGATCACAAAGAGGAGAAGTGAAAAATATTTTAAGGATGATGATGAGTTCAAGACACAAAGCACTGTTAGTTCAGGGAGAATTTGAGTTGAAGTCACAAACTGGGCAATGTACTCAAGTGTATCCTCTGAATCCTCAGCCCAATTCTGTAAGAATGATTTTGAAGCAAAGATAGACATGCCTGGGCAGTTTGTTACCAAAAGCCTTCTGGTTTTATGGAAATTCTTCTTTGGTGACACCGATGGCGCTTGGTGCACCGTGTGCTGCAGACATTGTATGCACAGCAGTGCAGAGAAGAGACAGCTCAGGATTTGGTGTGGGCAGCCCTGAGGTTCAGCTGGGGACATGGAAGTCCCAGGTGAACCTCCCTTTCCTAAGGCAAGCACATTTCTAATGTTTTTTAAACAAAACCATTTCTAACCACTTTCTCCACCACCCCAGTGGAATTTCCCTATTCTGCTGCAGGAAATCTGTGATATTTATAGCTCTTTGCTGTAAGATGGCAGATTTCTCCCTTTGCCTCAGTTTTCAGAGGTTCTTAGTAAAAAGGAATCTCAGCTCTTATTTTGTGTAGTGCAGGCTGGCTGGTGAATTTTTCAGAAGCCTGTAAAACCTGCAAGAGACAGTCCCATACCTTCTTCCTGCTGCTGTTGACAGAATCACAGAATAGTCATGGCTGGAAATGACCCGAGATCACCAAGTCCATCCATTAAAAAAACCCAACAAAATAAAAAAAACAAAACACCCAAAAAAACCCCCACAGACACCTGACCTACAATCTCAGCCACTAGAGCATGCCCTGAAGTTCCTCATCTACGCATTTCTTGATTATACCCAGGGATGTTGGGCAGGCTGTTCCAGTGCCTGGCCACTACTTTCAATACAGAAATTCTTCCTAATATCCAGTCTAAACCTCCCCTGTTGCAACTTCAGATAATTTCCTCTGGTCCTGTCATTATTCCCTTGGGAGAAGAGGCCAACACCCACCTCCCTACAACCTCCTTTCAGGTAGAGGGCAATGAGGTCTCCCCTCAGCCTCCTCCAAACTAAGCATCCCTAGTTCCCTCAGCTGCTCCTCATATGACTTGACTTGTTCTCTAGACCTTTGACCAGCTTGGTAGCTCTGCTCTGGACAAGCTTCAGCACCTCAATGCCCTTTCTGTAGTGAGAGGCCCAGAACTGAATACAGTACTTGAGGTACAGAACCTGGGCAAGTTCTTTGCTCTTGCAGCCACTTGCCACGGGTACTCACCTCTGCTTCAGATCTGGCGGCTAATTAGGCTTGGTCCTGTAACCAGTGCAAGAAAAAGTTGCACACTGTGACAGAGTTCTGTGCCTTTTATCACAAGCAGTTGTCCTTGTGTAATTATCCTTTAGTTGGCAAAGCTAATGTTCGGCCATACACAGCACTGGCAAATGTGCGACTTCAGTTAGCTGTGTAAGCAAGATGGTCTGGCCCATCTAAAATGCTGCTCAAGTGTTTTTATCAGCATTGTTGGGGGCATGACTAGTCTGATTGTGAAAGGGAGAGAGCACAGGATCATCCTTCCATGGTGAAAGTTCAGCTTTACACTGGAATACACTAATCTGAGTCCCACTGTGCAGCAGGTGTAATGCAGGAAGATAATTGTCCTCTCAAATAGAGAGATTCTGTCCAAAAGATTATTAGGGTGTCACTTTTAGCTGTTGTGACTCTTAAAGCCTTTCACTGGCCACTTTTTCTTGTTCCTACATGAAACTCAGTTAATGTGGTTCACACTAATTCTAAGCTGTCTTGGTAGCATTAAGGGAAACATTGCTATCATGTTCTGTAGTACTTTGCTGCAGAGTCATTTAGATGTGATGCGAATGTCCCGGGCAGTGGGGACAGAAGATGTCTTGGTAGTGCTTTGCAGATAGCCATAAACCAGCTGTAACAGACCACTGTCAAAGCCTGGCAGTAAACTGATGGCAAACATTGCTGCTTCACTGTTCTCCATGCTAATGTGCTTGCACAAATCTTCTCCTGCACCTGGAGCCTGCAGCTACCTGTGAGCCCATCTTTGCATAGTTCAGATGCAGCCAGATTCAGGATCAGACTCCAAAATTGTCTCTGTTGGTGACAAAAAAAATTCAGCTGGTATTTTAACAGTTTTTTATTACACTGTAGGTATTTGTTATTTTTGTTTGGATTACTCTCCATAGCATGTCCTTCTCTGGGCTAGTAAAGGTGCTGTAGTTGGACATCCATCTCCCTGTGTCTTACTAAAGGCCTCAATTTGTGAAAAGTGGGTACAAGAATGCATTTTAAGAGTCTGTAGTACATAAATTACTTTGTTCATTAAGCAAGGAGCATTTTTTTAATGTCTTCTAGAGGAATGTGTTTTATAGGATAACAAAACTCTTTTTGGCTTGATGTTACACATATTTCTATTTCAAAAGAAGAGGCTTGGTTTTGTTCAACAAAGCTTAGTATTATTACTGTGATGAGGCACACAACTATCTTACAAAATCCCTATGCCCTTTTTCTGCTCAAAGGAGTTAGTCTTGTTTTCTATAAAGTCTCCTTAAAGAGTAATGCTTCATTAAAATTAATAAGGCTGTGACCTACATAGTTTACAAAAGAATTAAATACTGTAATAATATGACAACTGTATTATTACTGTGCAGTTAATTTCTATTTTTCCTTTCTATTAGGAATATTCAGTCTTCCTTTGAAGTGGGTGTTAGGCTAATGCACAAGTAGTGTTCACCAAATAATAGGAAAAGGGTGACTTTTTGGCCTTTTCTGGCAGAATATGTCGATAGTTTTAACGCTGCCTTGCCTCCTGGCCCACTAGTCCTGATGACTGAATAAATACTCTAACATCAGATTTTGGAAAATTTCTTTAATTATATTTTTTTAACATGTATTTTTGCTACTTTGCATTTCACAAGGAGCAGGGATCTGATATTGTCAAACCTACAAAGAAAATTTCTGTCCAAATTTTATATATAGTTGAGGTCCAGATCCACTTGGTATCCAGACCTTCCCATCAAAAGCAAATTTTAATCTTTGGTCCTTGAAGACAATAGTGCCATGTTCACGGACCTTTGATCCATTAGACACTTTCGGGCACTCATGAACCTGCTTTTTCTGGATTTTCCAATAAAATTTTGCCTAAGCAAGAGCAGCAGAGTATGGTTAGGACTTAAGCTAGAAAATAATTACTAGTTTGTTATTACCACAGGCAGATGTGGTAGCTGAACTGCTGTTGTTGCCTAACTTCATCTGCTATAAGCCCACTATTGGCAATTGACTGAGATTTGGTTGATGTTCTTCACATAGCCTGATAGTTTATACAGAGGAGAAGTCCATCAGTGATAAAATGGATGGCAGTACATTTAAAAAGTCCAACTTCGCAGATCATGTCCTTGTTCTCAGCCTTGGTGCAAGAAAAGGGCATTTTCTTTTAGCAAAATTTGAAAGAAAGACTTCAAATAAGTGTTTTCTTTGATAGAATACAAAGAAGTCCTGTGTCCTTGAAAAGGCTCATTGGTGTTCTACAACAGTTTCCAAATGTGTAGTGTGTCTGTCCCTGTGTATGAGTATCTTTTAATTGGCACACAAGAAGTATCAAATTAGAAAGTGATACAGCATAAAAGAAGATAACATTAAAAAAAATCTTAACAGACTTGAACTACATTAGTTTTTTTTAAAGTTTCAGCCTCATGGGTCCTTGCAGCATTTCAAATTTTATAAGTTATTGTGACCTGTAATTGTTCCAGAGCTTCTTTCTAGTGGATCAAATAAGAGATCACTCCAGTCTGAGCAGCTGTTAAAACTTGTATTCAGTCTTTAGACTGACTTTATGTAGCTGGGTGGTACAGGTCATTGTCATTATATCCCCGTTTAGTTTATTTAACATAAATGTTTCTCTTTTTTCTTCTTTCAGTTGATCTTAAGAAAGGCTCGTGTCCGAGTGCTGCAAAGTCAAATCTCCCCAAGCCCTGCCAGTCTGGACTTCGTCCTCCAGGTTATTCACGGTTGCCAGCAGCTAAACTGGCTGCATTTGGTTTTGTCAGGAGCTCAAGTGTGTCCTCAGTCTCCAGCAACCAGTCAAACGACAGTGCTCAGAGTGATCAAAGCAGGACAACCAACCGTAAGTCCAAAATGTGGCCTTCTTTTGGGGGGATACCAGGATTGTCCCTACTGAGCTTGTGTCTAATTTAGGACTAATGCAATCTTGCGCAGCACTCACTAATCTCTTTATTGCCAATGAGTTATAGGTTTGATATCTTAATTATTTGTTGTAGTTTTTACAAACATTATTAATAATAGATGAAGAAGTACATTGCAGATAGAAGGGGCTGGTTTCCCTATTGCAGAGAAAATCACATTAAGAGTGAACCTAAAGCATTTTTATGTTTTGCTTTTATTCAGAATATCCCTTTGTACAAAATGAAGTCAGTAAATAATCACAGTAAACTATATTTGGTAAGTATGTTGCAGCCTTATAGAACAGTCTAGAAAAAAGATTATCTAAAGTGAGTGATACAAAAGTCTTTCTTATCTGCTTTTATTCTGCTTCTTAATATGCAGTGTAATAAAGTAAGTTAAGAAAAATTAATCAAATAATACCAGTAATGCGAAAGGGATCAGAACAGATAACTTAGCTATTTTCTCATCTACCAGACTTGGAAGGATCCTGTGGCTGAAATGTCAATTCAAATCCTATTTTCTGTTATGACTGTTCATTTTATTAAGCACAAAATAATACCCAGTGGATTGTGCAGTCCTTGGGAAGTGTGTACGTGCCCTGTGCTCAGAGTGGAAAGGGGGATTGAGGGATTTTCATGCCCGTTTTTCTTTGAAGACTGGATTGAGCCTGAACTGTGTCAATATCAAAGCAAGTGGTATCAGCCCATGAGGGTGTCGCAAGCTGATATTGGGGGGCTACCAGGGGAGACCAGGTGATCTGAGGTGCCAGAGGAGACAGGATGCTGCAGGCGCCTAAGTCCTTCACTGTTTGTATTAATTTGAAATGAATTAAAATGAATAAAATTAAAATAGTTTAAAAAAACCCTAAGGATTTTCTCCTTCCCCTTTTATATCAGGTAATTGAAATGCCAAAGACTAATGAGTACAGGGACTTCTAACTTTTCCAGTACTGCCAAACATATGCTTGTATCCTCTTTTACTGTTGAACTGGTTGCTCATTTCTGTTTCCTAATTAACTTTGCTTTGATGGTAGGCAACCTCTTTTGCTCTGTGCTGTTACCCTACATTTACACCTTTGGAAAGCTTTTCCTTTATATGATGTCACAAGCTTTTTGTCTTTGTTTACATACAGCCTCTGTTAGGGACAGAATACCTGATTTCTGATTAGATCTATGCTACCTCTCTGCAAGAAATGTTGTTGTCTAGTAATTTCAGGTGTGAATCTGAAAAAAATAGCATCAGTAGGTACAGCACTGTCGTTGAACACAGTGGATTCATACAGATTCATACAACTGAGAATTCTCTAAAAGGCAAATACTAGTTGTGGAATCTGAGTCAATTGATTTCTGCTCAAAAGCTGTGGAATAAACATTAGTAATCTCAGACCCAGAAATACAGCACTTCATTCGTCTTAAAGGATGTTGATTTCATTTAAATATTCTCAGCCAGTTACCTGCTGAAAATTAGGATTTACCATTTGTACTCTAGCCAACAAGCTAGATAGCTCATCTGAGCAGTTGTTTAATTTCCCTCTGTCTCCATGAGAGAGCAAGACAATGAGCACCTCCTGACAGTAGTCTCCCTGTTGTGGTTCCTGTGACATCTGTCCAGCTCAAAGTCTTTTATATGTCTTTAATTCCAAATGTATAATGTTTTCTGCTGGACCAGGGTGAGAGAGGGAAAAACGCATGTGACCAAGGGAGTGATTGCACACACCATGTTTAAAGTGTCAGCCCTCAGGTTACGTCATCCCAGGAGAAGACACCTAACATTACACAACTGCCATTCATCAATCCTAATAGGACAGATAGAGAAATAAAAGTTTCCTTGCTGTTGAACGATTACATTTCATAGAATTTTATCAGTTTGAAACTGTATCAACTTTTTTAAATTTATAGTCTGTGTGCCAGCAAGAGTTAAATTAGTTGCTCAAAAGCCAGGGAGCACAAATTAGTTGCCTTCCATTCTACTGCAGCTTATTTAACATAGATCAGCAGAGCACTTCAACACGTACAGAAAGTAACCCAGGAGTGGATGCAGAGGAGAAGCATTGGCTCAGGAACCTTAGCATGACATTATTTCTTCTCTTTACTATCTGCTGGAAGAATGGTTTTATTTAAATTAAATAAATAGCTGATTCTGTAGTTGGTACCTGAGATCATGTATTTGACTAAATCAGTCTTCCTAGAGGGAAGGGTAAAGTTTTGCTGTTAATTTCCTTGCTCAGTAGGGTAGAAAATGCAAAACTATTTAGCTTTAGAAATCTTCAAAAATATATGATAACAATTTCTTATCTGAGCAGCATCTTTGCATGTCAGGGAGACAGAAGTAGTTGAAAAACATCTCACAAGTGTGCATATGTTATAAATAGAGGGGCTGCCACGGTTGTAAATTGAAGGGCTCACCTCAGGATCTTACATCTGCCATAGAAAAACCCACAGTGTATTCTAAATTGCTAAAAAGCCGATGGCTATGGATGGATGGGAGGGAAACAGATTTCTTTTAGAGGCAAGGTACTTTAGGGTAAAACAGTGTTTCTTGTGGGGGTCCTGGTGTGATCCTGTTGTTGTCTTTCTCTCCCCTGCCGGATGTCTTCAGGTGTTCTTCCCAAACCTATGATGGTTATATTTATTTTCAGAAATCTCAACTAGAGTTTCGTTTTGGCATACCAATACTGATTAAATGCTATCTAGAGGGTAAAACCCCAGTTGTTTAAAATACGGAGACATGATGTTTGTGTTGTGGGGGAGTTTGTTAACAGACCTGTGAAGAAGCAGTTTTGTTCTTCACCAGATTTCTCCCCTTCCCTTGACCTCAGTGGAAGAAGTAAGCCTGGATGCTCACAAGGCCTGTGCTATGCTCCTCAGCTGACTGTCTGGCAAGAGCTCACAAATACTAATTGACTCAATCAAATGGATTTGTAGCAGTGCTCTTTTCCCATGGTAGGGACAGGGCAGGCTGTGCAGCACTCTCCTGCTTGCCCTCTGATGCTTCCTCAAGTCCTGTCCCTGGGGTATGGGTATAAGCCAGGCTGCTGTTCACAGATAACACACCAACTGTGACAGCCAGGCCATCAGCTGCTAATCAGGATCATTCATAATGGGGCTCTGCTCCCATAGAGTCCTTCTCAACTGTGTGCTGGGGCTGGAGGGACAGCTCTGAAGCCAAACCACCCAACTATCTCTCCAGCTTCTGGAGCAGGGAACTGCCGGGCACACTGAGGTCATTGGTCCATTTTCACTACTTAAAATCCACCTTCTGGTGCTTACATGTAACTTGTGCTTTGCACACAGGGGAGCCATGGTCCATACTTCTCCTCTGTGTCCACTCCTGGGCTACTTTCTGTGCGTCTTGAAGTGCTCTGCTGGTCTATGATAAATAAGCTGCAGCAGAATGGAAGGCAACCAATTTGTGCTCCCTGGGTTTTGGGCAACATTTAGGATAATGGTGTCATGTGGCAGCTTCTCTCCTTGCTGAAGTAGATGCCTCACTTCTTCCCTTGCTGACGGATGCGATGACAGAAGCCAAATACGGCTCCATTTTGAAGCTGGGTCCTAGGGGGGGTCAGGGGAGCTCATCACAACTCACCACTGGCTGTCCTGCTGTGTTCAAAACAGAATGGTTGAAGTAGTTCAGGGTGAGCTCTTTGTTCTAAATGATGAGCAAGGGCAGTTGTGTTCCAACAAACAACTCAGAGAAGTGGAGGCAGTGAGAACTCCCCATACTGATGTGGGTGTCCATCCTTTGTTGCTGCTAATGTTCCTCTCTGCTTGGTGCAGAGCATGCAGCTCTGCCTGCCACTTTCACACCTCTCATCCCACATGGAAGCTCTGTACCAAGCTGCAGCAAGGCACAGGTGAGGTCTTCTGCTGGGGCAAAGCCACATGGCCTGATACTACAATATGTGGGACAGCTGGGAAACTCTGGGCTGAGGCTCAGCTCCAGGTCCTGCTCTCAGCTCCTCCCTCCAAATTTGTTCCATGATACAGATATAGGTTTTCCAGTAACATTTCTGTTCAGGATTACCTGAAAAGTTCACAATTACCCTCAGCTCTGGCCTACTGCTTTTGAGGTTTAAAAATCCATACCTATATCCAAAATCTCAGCCTTTTTTTTTTTTTTTTTTTTTTTTTGTTTTTTTTTTTTTTTAGGCAGAGGTTTTTTGCAGGTCAAAAACCTTGTTGAGTTTGTGTACACTCCAAATTGGCTACATATTTCAACCTGTCTAAGAGGGGCATGTGTGTTCTCTGGTAGATATGAGAAAAAGCGAATGACTAGCAAAGCCACATTAAGGTTGAAACCAGTATGATTTGGAGTGGAATGAGACAATCATGTCACCATAAAGAGAAAAAACCTGAATAGCTTAACTTAAAGCAAAATTACTAACTTGGCATATTTTCCCTTAAAATTTTAAATACACTGTACTTAGACTCCTCATCTGTCTGCCCCAATAAAACTTGCATAAGGAGATTTGAACCTGATTTTCACATTGTATGCCAATGATCCACAGCTATGGAATGTGGTTCTCAATATTATCTTGTGATTCTGCAGTGCAGAAACATGATGTCCAGGCTGTAGTTTCTGGTTTACTAGTTTAAGGGGCTTAGAGTTCTCTCCTTTGCTTATATTGGCATCTCTAGTGATTGGCTGAATATCCTGCTCACGTAATTAGTTTTATGTACTTCATGAGAATAGACTCTTACCATGCTGTGAGTACCACATGGGAAACAGTTCATTAAGCACTGTGAAACAGTGTGATGTGTGGAGGACTAAAAGAAAGATAGATTGTTTAGAATGAGTTGTGGTATAACTGCTGTGAATTTAGGAAATGGAAGAATGTTGGTATAATGTCAAGAAATACTTCATAGTCATAAGGTCTACTAGTCTGTTAAATAGTCTTCCAACTCAAGTGATGAAATCCCTTTTGCTTAAGGTACTTAA